AGAGCTCGGACGAACTCCTGCTGGTTCACGTCTTTTACAGTAACTCCAGGCATCTGCGAGGGAAATCGGGCACGTGAACACAGGACGGGCGGAGGCCCCCGACAGGGCCGGGGCCAGCCCGGCGCCGCCTAGACGGCGCACCCCGTTACTTCCGCAGGGCCTTCCAGTCCTGCGCCCCAAGGCCCGGGCGCCAGAAGGTCCCGGAGTCCCCGATCTCGACGGGAAGCAAGAGCACAACCTGACCCCACCTACCGAGACGCTCGGCGGCCCCAGCCCCGGGCCTTGCCCCAGAGGCACCGCCCTCGCGCTGCCCACCGCGCCGGGCCAGGGTCCCCGGGCCGCGCCGACCAGACATGCCCGGGCCTGCCGCTCGCACGTGGCCGCGGGTTTAGGGGGCGGGGCGGCTTCGCGTGGACTCCCCGGGTGCCGGATCACGCGTCCCGGCCTAGGGACTCGGCTCCTGACACCCCGCACTCAGTCAGCACCGGAGCGCCGGTCTTACCGTGCGGCCTCCGCGCTGCCAGCCAGGGGAAAGGGAGCAACGGGGTTTCCCGGGCGCACAAGTCGGGCGTCGAGCCTCGCGAGAGTTCCGAGAGTTCGCGAGAGCAGGCTTAGCGACGGAGACTCCGCCCCTCTCAGGGCAAATGGTGCTCACTTCCGCCGAGTCGGGCGGTGTGGCGTGAGGGAGCTGGATGGCGAAGCGAGAAGTCACGGGGAGGGGAGGGAGGCCGGTTTGTTCCCTGACCGACCTTTTCGGGAGTGTGGCAGAGAGGTCATTGCTCTGGTCTTGAGCTGGGGGGGTTTGGTCTGGTTTGTGTCCGTCGTGGTTGGCAGGAACAGCGGCGGAGGATCGCGATGGTGGAAGTTATGGGGGAGTTGGGTGGGCAGGAAAGAGGTTTGACCACGACTGGCGCCCTTGAGGGGGGCACCCCGTTTTTACAGTGGCAGTGGCTTTTCTGGCCGGAAGTGGAGTTAGTAAGGGCGGAAATATGATGGCGAACCCGGGTGAAGGAAAAGAAATATGGCTACTACTTCCCTCCCAGTAATCGGGGGAGCGGGAGGCGGAAGCCCCACCCTTCTTAGGGCGGAAGTTGCTTCACCAGGACTTAGGCGACCGGAGTGGGCGTGAGGCACTGGAGGCGGGTCGGGTCCAGGGGCAGGGACAAAGAGGCGGAGGCGGGGCCTGCGGGGCTGTCCGCTCTCCGCTGCCTCCTACAGCCTGAATCGTCCTGTTGGCTCGCAGGGGTAGCTTTCCCGGTACATCTATACCTCCCCTACTAACTGTGCAGCTGTAAACTGGCCACTTGCCCTCTCCAGGCTTTAGTCTCTCCACTAAAAACGGAAAAAAATTAAATGGAGACACATTCTGACAGTTACCCCTTTTAAGTGATTGCCCTGGACATAGTGCATCACATATTCGAGCAACTTTTTTTGTGTGTGCCTAGTCTGTGCCAGGTACAGATAAAAATGTGGTTTTACATGCATGAACTAGTTTAATATTTATAAGGTTCATCAACCAAGAACACGAGGGAATCACCTATGGTCTTATAAAACTGTCAACTCGCTGCAAAAAGAAACGTTTCAATGCGTGTGGCTGTTTTCTTAGTTGAAAAGTTTAAAACAGGACGAATACTATTTTTTTCAACTGTGAAATACGATGTCTGCAGACTGCCTTATTAAAGAAATTTAAAACCTGGGCCCTCCCTGGTGGCGCAGCGGGTTAAAGCACTGCACTAAGAAGCTTAAGCCAATTCCATATGAATTCGATCTCTGCCTGCTCTGGAGGAGATCCACATGGCGTGGCAGTCCTCTCCTGACCCGCCCGCTGCTCCCCTCAGCAGTGTACTTCGTCCATCTGCCTGTTCTGCTCCCCACTCTGTCTCTGGTGAATCCTCTCACCCTCCGCATCTCTGGCCTGTACCCCAGCTCTGTATGAATAAATAAATAAATCTTTAAAAAAAAAAAGATTTAAAACCTACTTAGTTTGGGCTGCTGTAACGAAATACCATAGACTGGGTGTCTTGCTAACAATCGAAATTTAATTCTTACAATTTTGGAGATTGGGAAGTCCATCATTAAGGTACCAGTGGATTGTGTGTCTGGGGAGAGCTCTCTTCCATGATTCCTAGACGGCCATCTTTATGCCTAGTCCTCACGTGATCACAAGGGGGGGTGAGAAAACTCTATGGTGAATATTTCTTAGGGCACTTTCCCATTCCGGAGTACCCCACCCTCATGGACCTGATCACTTCCAAATACCATCTCATTGGGATTAGGTTTGAACAGATGACTTTTGGGGGGACACAAACTATACATGCCATTATACCTTTGTTGTAATTTATAGAACATGTAGTACTAAGCGTGAACCCTTGTGTAATCTATGGACTCTGGATGACAATATGTTCATCAGCGGTAACTTGATGGTTAGGGGAAGCCCTAATGATTTGAGAGGCAAGGAGGACTAAACCAGTGGCAAAAACATTGCCAACTCTGGCAGGAAGGGACGGTGGGATGCTGAGGCATGAGAAAGGCTTGTAAAGAGGGATCTGCCCCTAGCTGCTTCTCATAATCTCTTTTTAAAGAGATTTATTTATGTATACAAGGACTGGGGTACAGGCCAGAGGTATGGGTGTGGGGTGAGAGGCTTCAGTAGAGACAGAGTGGGGCAGACTTAAGTATACTGCTGAGGGGAATAGCAGGCGCGACAGATGTCTGCTGGGCCCTTTGGGTCAGCTCCCTGGGCAGGGATGCAACTCAGGCTGCACTGGCTAGTGCTGTTGATAGCCTGATAGTGCTGACCTGTGCCACCAGGGAGACCCTCCCCAGTGTCTAATCACCATTCCCCTCCCCCCCATTTCTCCTGTCATCCTGTAAACCCACTACACTTTCTCTTTTAATCTTCCCACCTGTGTGACCTGGGTGACCTTTATTGGTGACCTTTGGTGGTCCCGAATAGCATGGTGTTAGCTCTGTTACATGTTGCAACCCTTCCCTCCTCTGTAACTATGGGGCATGTTCATCTGTGCAGGGAGAGCACCACACAGTGAGGCTTAGGCATTCTATTAAATGCTGGTCATATATCTAAGTGATAACAAGGGGAAGAATGGGAGGTATGAAGCCGACCTCCATCCTTTGATGGTCTTATATTCTACAATCCTTTAGGAGTAGAAGGAGCATCAAGGGCCCAGAAAGACCAGGATTGATGCTGTTGCCATCAATCCTCCTGAATAAAAAGGCGCGTTGGTAACATCAGGAAAAAGAATTAGTGATCAGTCATGCACCTCGAGCTTGCTAGCTGCCCCTCCTGAGGGTGGGGGTAGGGGGGGGACCTTCAGGTCTTCATATCTTTGGAAAAGCTCTTTATGTGTTTGAAGCAGTACAAGGAGGACTCAATAGCAAAGGACTAAGAAAGGCAGGTAAGGCTTAATACTCTTAGTGATATCCTGAGCAGAAAAGTATGACATTTTGAAAAAACCCTTGGCCTCATGTTTGTCTTCTCGAGTCCTGAATTTTTGCAAAAATTGCCCACTAGTTGATTTGTGCCTGGCAAGGAGAAGGAAACGTCTTCTAATATTTGCCCAGAAATTGTCCCTAAAATACATGGGCAAGTTACTTAATCTCTACAAGCTTGTTCCTTTATTTGCAAATGGAAGTAACATGCATAACTTGTTTAGCTGCTGTGAGGTTATATGTGAATTACAGACAGTGGGTACTCAATAAAGGATAATAATTATCTCTCAACGTTTTATAAGTCCTTCAAAACAGACATATGAGTAGTTCAGAAAAAAACCCTTGATAAAGACTAACTTGATTCTTTCTGTCCTGACTGGCCTTTGTTTTCCCACTTGAAAAATGTTATGTTAGATTAGCATTCTACTTGCCAAAGCCAGCCTGAAGTTAAGTTTTGACTCCCACTGAATTTAAACAAGAAAAATGAATCAACATGAAAATTTCTTTGGAAAAATTAGAAGGTAGGGTAATACCAGGATTGCCTACAATCCTGTCTGGCAACAATCTACTAGGCCTAAAGGAGCTGCCCCCTTCAGCATGGCCTGCACTCCCAGTTTTCTAAGCTTGCCTGGCTTTATTTCTTTTTTTTTTTTTAAATATTTATTTATTTATGCACAGAGAACTAAGGAACAGGCCAAAGATACAGGGGCGGTGAGAGGATTCACCAGAGACAGAGTAGGGAGCAGAACAGGCAGACTGACAAAGTACACTGCTGAGGAGAGCAGCGGAGAGACAGGAGAGGTCTGCTGTGCCATGTAGGTCAGCTCCAGGGCTCAGGGATCGAACTAAAACTGAAGTGGCTGTGAGCTGGCTCGCAGTGCTGTGCTTTAACCTGTTGCAGGAGGGCCCTTCCCTGGCTTTGTTTACTCATTTATTTGACCTGCTTGGCTCTGTAGACATTTTGGCTTGTGGCCCTCTGGGCAGCTGGAAACTGTCTACTGTTCTCTTACCTGGCTGCAATGAGATCCAAGTTTGTACACATTTGTGGAAGGTACTGAATAAATGATTTTCACTTTGAGAAGTGAAGTGAACAAATCTTTTTTTGTCAGTCAGGAAACACTAGACTGTGGTAACAAATAATCCCCAAGTCACAGTAGCTTAAAACAAAGGTTTATTTCTTGCTCAATCACACAAATGTAGACACAAAATGAAAATACTTTCCTTTGTATACATGGAGACAGACATGAGCGCACAGGTATATACAGAATAACGTGTCAAACATAAATTCATGCAACAACTTATTCAGATACTAGTTGGCTTAAACTGCCCAATGCTCTCTTAGGAATTTTATAAGGTCAGAGGACCCAAAGAGGGTAAGAGAATGCTCATCTCCTACCAAGGTAAGGCCAGTATTACAAAAGGAACCAAAAGCTGAGAGCTTAAAGAAAGCCTGATGCTTGTACTATGTCAAATTCCATGCTTAAATACATAAATAAAATACGAAGATGCAGCACCTGCTGGCTGCGGCCCCCTCCACCCTGTCTGGGCTTTTAGGTTAGGAGGGAGATGGATCCCAGCCGCCCAAGGTGCAGAGCCACAGAGGGGCCTGGGTTGGGTCGCAGAGAGGGACCAACAGGCTGGAATCCTCTTCCTCCAGGGGGAGCTACAGGCGGGAAGGAAGGTGCATGTACCAGGTCACAACCATTGCCTTTCCCAGAGACCTTCACTTTCTACCCCAGTCAGTCTCGGTCTCCTGGACAACAGCAGACACTCCCTCCTCACTGGTTTTCCTAGTGATGGCCTTGCCTCTTCCAAACCCACTATCACAGCCATGACTGTCTTTTCAAAGCCCCAACTTGTCTTTCTAAAGTTCAGGTTCTGAATATGACTCTCATTCAGACACATTCCCTCACTCCTAAAAGAAGTCTCTCCAGTTTGATCTGTTTCAGAAGTTTCTCAGGTCTGTTTTGTCAACCTTACACCTTCCCAATCTACTATTTTGGAAAGGGGACTTTTCAGCCTTTCCTTTTTGTCCCCGTTGGTATTTCTCATTCCTCAAAGTTCCTCTAGTTTTTGCTAGGTTGTCACTGTCACTGAGTTTTGTGAAAGCATCTGTGTTGCCCAAGTAGAATGGAAGCTCCTTAAAAGGCGGTTATCAGCCCTCCTTCCACATCATACCCTGTTATCTCTTCAGCCTTTCTCCAGACTTCAGCTGTCAACCTGGGTCCAGAGAGAGCCTTGGGCTGGAGACAGGAGACCAGGTTCTGGCCATCTTGCTATATGTCTTTGGATAAGTCCCTCCCTATGATAGGGCTTCAGTTTCTTGGTATTTGGACACTGGAAATGTGCTTTTGAGCACAAAACTGACAAATCAACCCACTGTAAACTCTCAACTGCAAGCCCAGAGACCCCATTGACTAGTTTAGGGCCTAGTCTGAGGGTGTTCAATCTGCTGAACCCCTGATCTGCTCGGTTAGTCCCTGTTTACGCCATTACCTCCATTTCCCAAACAATCTCATTTTCTCTTTTCAGGAAACATGTTACCTGGTGGGCCACAGGGGTGGAGCAGGGAGATCCAGGCAGAGTTGGGAGGCACAGAAGGGGTCAGGCGTGGAGTCTGGGATGAATCTTTCAGCCCCACAAGAGCCTCAGCTGCCTCCCGTTGCAGCTGCCGCTCTGATGGGGCGGGGGTCCAGGTCAGGCGAGAGGCTCCAGGGGCCTGAAAAGGAAAGGGAGAGAAGCAGACTGGGAACCCCACTTCTGCCCACCATCCATGTGTGTGTGCCCTCAGCCCCAGGTTCTCTCACTATCCCTGTTCTTCCCATCCCCAGGTTCAACTTCCTCCCAGGGTTCTGGACCCCACTTCTTTCCCAAGACCTGTGGCTGCAGCAGAAGAGGGTCTGGGGTGCCACAGGGCTGGAGTATCAGAGTTGAGCATCTAGAAACAAAGAGAGAAAATGCCAGCGGGGTCAAACACGTGGACAAGTATGTATACATGGGAGAGTTGGGGAAGGAGTTTGCTATATTCGGATATGGAAATCTTATAGCCTGCTGTGTCATTATGTGTTGTGGTTCATAAAGATCCTCCCTCATCTCGGCTTGCTTTGATTTCTGTAAAATGAAAATCCCCCCAACTTCTTCCTCTTAGGGTACTATGAGGATTATCATCATGAAATTATTGATGTATTTTCAAAAAACTGATGAGGTGTCTGGTTCCTCTCCCTCTAATTCCCTAATCACTGTGGATTTGAAGGGGCAGCATGAAGAAATCTTTTGGAAATTTTCTCTAATTGCCTCTGAGTCTTTCCCCATCCCAACCCTCTCTCTGCATTTCAGAAGTCAGAAATTCACCTCCACTATTTGTTCAAGACTTGTGCTAGCTATATTTCATAAATGATTGCTAATTCTCATGACAACCCTGGAGATAATTAATAGTGTCTCAAACTTACAACAGAAAAACAGGCTCAGAGGTAATGGTCCTTGTACAGAGGTTCTCAGCTAAGCGGTGGCAGCACTGGGAGAACTCTGTCCCACCCACTAGTCTAAGGTCCTTTCTTCTTTAGCATCTGCTGTGGTGTCCAGGACAGGAGCAGGCACAAGCTCCTTCTCTCTATACTCACGTGCGGGGCAGGAGAGAGGGCCCTTGGGATTCTCTGGAAAGAGGAGCTGTCAGTATTGGGCGAGATCCTGGGTAGGTCGGGAGGGGCCCGTGAGTGGGCAGCTGCAGGGAAGTGCCAGGGTCAAAGCCTAACGGGGATAAGAGAAAGCCAGGTGTATAGGGGCCAGAGGTCATGGCCTGTGCTCCTTATTCCTATCCAGCATCTTTGTCCTCTTTTCTTTCTGATACAGTGGTGTGCCGCTTCAAATCTTTTGTGTTACTGAGTATTGAGCTCATCTTACCAGGGAAGGGATGTAGAGGGATGGCAGGTTCTTGACATAGCAAGCGGCAGACCACTGGGGGTGGCACAGAAAGGCCTGGAGGCAGCCAGTGTCCAGAGGCCCAAGAGCCTGGAGGTATCGGCGTCCAGGGCAAAGGCAAGGCTTCTGGGGTACGGGTGAGCAGCAGAGGCCCCCGGGAGTTCTCCTACAATGGCAGAGGGCACAGGTTGGAGTTAGGTACCAGGGTGGGGAAGGAGTATGTTCTAGGGTGGTGGGCAGGATCCTAGAGTTCCAGATCTTAGAGGGCTGTAAAATTCCACCTCCTCATTTTGCTCATGAAAGAGAAGTGATTAGTCCAAGGTGATATTAGCAGGTCAGGGCTGGACCTAGAACCTAGGTGTTGAGGGCACAGAGGCAGGGCTCTGGGCTAGGACAGGGGTCACTCCCTCAGGGCCCAGATTCTTCTTACCTTCCCAGGGGGCGTCAGTGCCAGTGGGACTGCCCCATGGGTCTGAGGCTGGGGTGCTATGTTTTCCTTTCCAGCTGTGGAGGATCAAGGAGAGCTTTGATGAGCTGTTTTTCTTGACCTGCGGTCCATTCCAACTGCAAACTGAGTTCTTTTCTACCCACAAATCTCACTGTATCTTCCCAACACCCAATCATATTTAAGCTGGGGAACTTAACTGCCCAGACCGTAGAAACACCTTGTCTAAGATCACACATCACTTCAGTGGCAGGTCTGGGACGCCTTCCCCCAGTTAGATTTCCTCCACCCAAATCCCTACCCCATTCCTGGCCAGACACTCACAGGGGGCTCCTGGTCGAGTGACTCCCTTCTTGACACGGTTGGGAGCTTTGGGAGGGGCTGCCCCTCTCTTCATCAGGCCCTGAGCCAGGTGCCTCTTTAGCTGTGCCTCCTGTTGCCTACGCAAGGCCACCTGGGCAGCCATGACCCTTCGGCGCTCCCTAAAAGGGGGGTGGCGAGTCAAAGGTCAGACACCCTTCAGAAGAGGTCCATCCTGTGCTTTGCCCTGGGTGTCATACTCACAAGATGAGGACACATTTGTGACACTCGCATGTCTGGAAGAGGCAGAGCCGCTTGTGGCCCTTGAGGTGGGCAGTGACACCATGGTTGCGGCAGCGGGCACAGGTTGGAGAGCGACTGACAGGTCTCCTGGGGACGGGCTCCATGCCCTGCGGGGCTCTGGTCTCACCCTCTTTGTCACAATCAGAGGGGCAGTGGTGGGCAGCAGACATTTCCTTGGATTCCATAGATCTAGGGGCAGGGTGGAGGATCAAGATGGTCTTGTGGGGCATTTTCTGGTCAGTCTTCCTGTCTCTGGGTGCCACCCTTGAGGTGCTTCTCCATTCTGCACTGCCCTGGACTCGGCTTCCCTCCTCCTGTCTCCCCAGGCTTTCTCCTTTCTTCACTCTGCCCCCCTCCTCAGCGCCCTTCTCCCTGGAGAGCACCTTCCCCCCCAAACCCTTTCCTCTTGTCTTTCTCACAGACTTTCAACCGTAGAACATCCTCTTTCCTGCTACTACATCTTCCCCACGTATAGACCCATTTTAGTACGCAATCCGGTGCCCCCTTCAACAATTCCTACACCCCCTTTCCACAAACACCCGGTTGCAAGTTTCCTGGGCCTCTTAGTCAGCACGAGCCTCTTCCTGGCCAGCACCTGTCCCATTCTGCCGATGCCCTATCTGCGCACTGGCCTCAGATCGGCCCCACCAACCAATTCCACTGCCCGTCCCCCCTCTCCCCCCCCCCACCC